CAAAACTCTTTCAAAACTACATGAAATCAAATTATTCCAAAATAAATGACATAGTCTATACTTGTATGTTTCACATAGTTATTTTTTTAGGATTTATTAAATAATCGAAATACGAACATATAAAATAAATAAAATTCATATCATGGTTTAATAAAGGCCGATCTTTTGATCGAGTGAGTGAGGGTGCTCAATTAATGACCTTCCCATTTCATACCTAAGGTTCCGAACCAAGACAACTTTGGTTATGACGAACAGTGGCCTTGGCACGAGTCATGGGTTTCCTAATTTTTCAAAATTATGGGGTGGCGACTCTAAGATCTGATGACGCTATCCATTTTTGGCAAAAGGTTTTGTAATAAAATGAATTTTCTAAAAGTTTTCAAATTTGGACTTTCATCTATGTTTCACATTGCACTAGCGTGTCCCACACACAAGAAAAAAATACAAAAAAATACACCTTCTTTGCCTGTTGGTTTGAAATAGTCAAATATTATTTAAGGGGAAATATAACACGAGGTAAAGTTTTGGTAGAGTGGTTGAAGTGTTGGGTGTGGAGTCTTAGGTTGGGGGTTCAAACCCCTTCACCAGCATTCCTTAAATTCATTTTCCCTGCTGATGATGTGGCGTTGACTTGTCTTTTTACCCAAAAAAATGATCAGCATTGACTTGTCTTTTTACCCAAAAAAATGAATTTAAGGAAGGCTGATGAAAGAGTTTGAACCCCCAACCTAAAACTCCACACCCAAGATCTTAACCACTCTGCCAAAGCTTTGCCTTGTGTTATATTTCCCCTCAAATAATATTTGACCATTTCACCAGCATTCCTTAAATTCATTTTTTTTGCTGATGACGTGGCGCTGACTTGTTTTTTTACCCAAAAAAATGAATTTAAGGAATGCTGATGAAAGGGTTTAAACCCCTAACCTAAGACTCCACGCCCAACACCTTAACCACTCTGCCAAAGCTTTGCCTTGTGTTATATTTCTCCTCAAATAATATTTGACCATTTCAACCAGCAAACAAAGAAGGTGTATTTTTTGCATTTTTTTCTTGTGCATGGGACATTCCCTTACCCCACTGGCCGACCCATATATCACCAAATACATACCAAATCATCCCCCATTGTTAAAAAGAGGTTTTGTTTGCATTAATAAAGGAGTATCCCATGCAACTACTTTGAAAATTTGCCCTCCTATCACATTCTTGTCTCCCACCTTCTTTTTGACCTTCGCTCTCCCTTATTGCCTATATAGAATGATCATATTGTAAGAGAGAGAGAGAGAGGACCACGAAATTAAAAAGAAAAGAGTGAGAAAATGGTGAAAAAAAAGAGAGAAAAATTGAGTTTTTGAGTAAAAAACACTCATATCTTCCATATACACGCCATACCTTCCATACAAACTGAAATTCCATCTTTTCTACACCCAAAACTCCTCCAAAAATTCTAAAATAGCTAAATTTCAGTAGTGATTGATCAAAAAAAAGAGTGAGTGTTGTTGAAAGTGAGAAAAAAAACAAGAGAGTTAGCCACTTTTCCACCATGCATACCCAGAATTCCATTCTAGTTTCAAATGGAGGATTGAGAACACACTTCCTAAACTTGAGGGTGATCAAGAGGAAGTTTGGAAATCAGGAAGTTCAATCTTTCTTTGAAAGGTAAATTTCTAATCTTTCATTTTTTTATATTTTCTATCTCATATTTATTTTCTTGCTTCTTATTCATAGTGTTTTGTTATAATCCAAGTGGTTTGCTTATCTCATATTTATTTTCTTACTTTATATTTCATAGTGTGTTGCTGTAATCTATCTAGTTTGTTTAGCTCATAATTATTTATTTTTATTCACTTTCTTTAATTTCATATTAATTTTGTTGTAATTTTGCATGTTCTACCTCATATTTGCTTTCTTGTTTTAGGTTCATGTTAGTTTTGCTATAAGTTTGCACTTTTTTATTTTATATTTGTTTTCTTGTTTTTAATCTAACCGGTAATGGTTACTTGAGCCATCTACATATTTCTTGTTTGTTCCTTTTCTTGGTTTTGCAATAAGACAGGTTTTGCTAGGCCTTGTTAGGTTGGCCGGTTAGCTTTTTTTGGACAAGACGACGTTGTCTCCCGAAGTTAACAAACTTTTGGTGGTTTCCAAGGCACACGAAACTTTTTTTTTTCTTTTGTTTATTTTATTTTGAGTGTATTGTTGGGTTTTTATTTTGTTGTAATATTCTCCTCACCCCCCCTCTAATTTGGTTTGTAATAATTTATTCAAAGTGTTGTAATAATTTCCCGCCCCACTTCTTTCTATCCCGTTCTTTTACTTGCTTTCCTTATTTGTGAATATGCATCATGTTTATTTTATTTTATTTTTTGTCGTTATATCCATGCTTTGCATCTATGTTTCATGCATCTTAATTCGGCTAAGTTTGCATTTGTGGATTTAATCAATTCCTATGTGATTATGTGCGCTACCTTATATTCTTGAGATGATTCACATCTCATATCTTAGAAGCCGAATCTTTAGTTGCATTTCGTGAGTGAATTGCATTAGGATTTTGTACATAAGATCATGCATGTTTTACTAACTTTGTTTTGTAGCTTGTTCGCGGGACGTCAAAAATGTAAGTTTTTATGCTTTAGCATCCCATTTGTATGTGTTTTGCTTACTATGTTTAGCATTCTACCGTTACTACAACAAAAAAGGGTTTTTACGGCACGTAATGAACGCCATAAAAACCCTTCTACGACGTGCAGCACGCGTCATATTATGACCAGTTATGGAAAGTCATTCACTTTTAACAATATGCTTCGTACGCCGTTAAAAATTATTTAACGGCAGATTTTGTGCGTCGTTGTTACTTTTTCTACGACATGCTATAGTACGCCGTTAAAAACTATTTAACGGCAGATTTTGTACGTCGTCGTTACTTTTTCTACGACTACTTTTGCACGCCGTTAATTGGTGAGACAAATAACGATACTGATTGCGCAGACATTGAATTGAAAGTAAAAATATTCTTAGTTTCGAATTTTACTTTTGAAATTGTTTGTGATAATATTGTTTGGTTGGCTTTGTGTTTGTATTCAATGTGAATTATTTGTTCGGTTGGCTTTGTAAAGAAAGTTGACTATTGATTGTTTGTTTTGAAGATTGACCAATTTTGTATAATCTAACAAATATTACAAACAAACATCACAAAATATCAATCAACCACCAAAATATTGTTTGAAACATCAAAAAGAAACTATATCCATAAATTATAAACATTCAACAATTGTCTATACATTCCAAATATTTGAAAACTATATCCTTCAATTTTAAACTGTACAAAAAGTTTAAACCATCCAAAACTATGCATATCTAACTTTCTAAACATATCAACAACTATTAAGATTATCTAAAACTACCAACAACAGTTCCTATAGCAATTGCAGCTGCAGCTGCAGCTATAGCAAATCCACTTGCTCTTATCATAGGGATGAGGGTGCCCAATGTGTGTATTAAGGCACCTAAACAAGCGGCAATAGCTGGAGCAACTAATCATGTTGCATTTCTTGTCTGCATGACAAAAGAAACTTTACATAAGTACAAATGTGGTTTAGAAAGCCTTACCATGCTTGTATGCATTAATGTGTTATATTCCATCCCATACACTTCCCTCACATTCATGTATATTATTTGATTCGAATCTAGCTATATCAACCAGGACAATTACCTTCATATTATACTCTCTCTAGTGTATCAAATTAACAGCAAAATTGGATAATTCAGCAACTCTGTGTATGTAGAAATAAGAAATCCAACAAAACTAATTAATGGTTATGCAGAAATAAGAAGAAGAGGTTAATTAAACAATCATCTCAAAGAAACAACTAAAATAAACACATCAAAGTTCGAGGACTTAACATACCTCTAAAGTCCATCACTCATCAGAGAAGAGAGAACCAAAACAGCAAAGACCACAATTATTCAAGTGACTCCTTGAGATAATGACATACCAAAATATTACTTAGCCAAAAAATTGACCTTCAAAAATACCCTAAAGATTAGGTGTGTATTGTACATTGAAAGTTGGTGTAACATGGGCTACACTCAGAATGAATGCGGTTCATAGATATACTTTTCTTTTCTTTTTTTTTTTCTAGGTATCTATGGTCTAAGCATATCTTTATAGGAAGAAATTTACAAACAAAATTTGTATACATAAAGTACATTGAAAATGATGTGGCGGTAACATATTTGTAATTATAAGTTACCATGTTAAGTGTTTTAACTAGAAATGAAATGAGTCGTATAATTCTATATAAAATTTATGTATAAAAAATTTGTTTGTATAGCATGATTACCCATCTTTGCATTGCCTAAATGTATTAAAAAGAGAAATTTTTGTAACAAAAAAAAATTATCTTGAGTAATATGATATTGGCAATTTTAAAATTACGAACCATGATTGTGAGTGTTATGGGTTCTGTACAGGTGTCATATTCTTGTAATTTACAATTTTTTTTTATTTCATATTTTTGTAATTACATTTATATGCAGTGTATAGCATTATTGAAGCAGCAAATAGAATAATGATGCTAATCGAAATATCATTATTGGAGAGATTAATAGAAAAGAACCTGGAGAGTGAAAGCTGTGACTATAATTGAGAAAGCCAGGGAACCAATTTCTAGGAGATTGAAGTCAAGATCCATATATGTATACCCATTATCCATGCAACCACCACACATAATGGAACCTAAAAATTGAACAAGTTAATTTAGTATTTAATTTATATATAATTTCATCTTGTGTTTTATTTTCTTAGTTATTTATTAATTTCAAGTCTCACCACAAACATTGAAATTTGAGCTGCTGAACCCAAAGCCACCCCCAGTTAGATATCCTGCATGCACGACAGAGAAAAAAAAATTAAAAAAAAATTAAAAAATTTACTTGTCATAAATATACCAAATCACATTGAGAACATCAATATACCAAAACATACATATTTTGATGAGAGAGATGAGAGTTAGAAACTCTGAAAGAGCACTTCATCACCAGGGTAGGCAGCTTATTAATTGCATAACCAAATTAAAATTTCATGAATTTATTGGCATCCCTCTCTATTGTGTTTTGTTCTTCGAAGGAAATCTGAGCATGTTTGTCACTTGAGGCATGAATAGGCCAATGATTTCTCCTCCATGAGCTCTTTTGCCGTGGCATCCATCTTTCCCCTTGAAAACTCATCGATCTTGAGCCCTGCATTCGAATTAGTTTCATTAATAACATAGCTTGCAATACTGTAGTATAGAAAAACCCATGTTCCCTAAATTGTTGAAGAAAAAAATAACAAAAAAAAAAAAAGAAGCAAAGAAAGTAAATAAGTAGATGCAAATAATGTAGTATAGAAATAAGAACAAGAAATAGATTATTGCAACATATAATTCAACCTTTGGAGTTCCAAGAACCCAATCGCGTATGTGATCACAAGTAGAGCTTGCAGCAAATAATGCACTGGATAGCTTCCGAGCTTGGATGATAACAGCACCTCGCTGTTGCACGGTGGTGATGAACTCTGTTTTTAGCTTGAGACATTCAGAAATGGAGGGCTGTTAGTAAAACAAATCTAAACAGTTACATAGATTACTAGGTTGGGAGGGAATATAGGGATGCCTTTTAAAGAAGCTTGCCTAACTGTCTTTCTTTAGTTGCAAAATGAAAGTTTAAAGGGGTCTATCAAGCTCGAGCCTAACCTCTGCCCAAACTTGTTTGCCCAAGTCTGAGCTCGAGTTTAAATCAAAGAATTTAAGCTAGGCGATAGTTGCCCAAATTCCAAAAACAAAAAATTTATCATGGTTGTCTTAAACTGATGTATAAACAAATTATCTCAAAAAGCAGAAATGTGAAACATAATAAGAAAATTAATTTATGTATACATAATATGATTTATTTCAAATTGTGAGAAAATATTCATTACTTTATATTATTTTATGTTTATTATATATGATTTATATTAACAATAAATTTCAGGTTGCTCGGGTTGTGGGAACCTTGCTCAGAGACATTGTTTTGAATTTAATTCCAGTCAACAAATTTTAACAGAAGCCCAAACCAATTTTGAAATTATACTACCCAAGATCTAAAATTTTTTAGGCTAGACTTGAGTCACTCGAGTTATGTGCCCAAAATACTCCTACGATTGAGAGCACAAGACATTACAGTTGGAAAATTTAAAAGGTACCATAGGATATTAGATGTACCATACCAATTATTGTCACCAACAAGTTCTCTGACCGGCTTGTGTGCGGCACCGGTGCTAACAGTTGCATGATTGACATCAGGATATTGAGTTGAAGAGTGATTTCTCCATATGATCACATTCTTCACATCTCCAACATGAACATGTATCCTCTCTGATATTTGGCCTAGGGCTCTGTTATGATCAAGCCTTGTAAGGCATGTGATGTTTTTCTCTGGAATTGAAGGGGCAAATTCTTTCAATTAATGATTTTTTAACTTTTAGGATTGTCTAAGGAATGGCTGTGAACTGGCTTGCGTCTGTGAATGTTCTTCAAAAGGTGTGGTTGTCCTCTTATAAAATCTTCATTTGAAAATTCCCATTGTTCTGGATCAATTTTCCTAAAACCCTAGCCAACGAAAGAAATGGAAACAACAGACAGCAAGAATGAATACAGAAGAAATATTTATGTGCACAAAATTATTTCAAAAGTATGGTAATAACAATTGCCTTACATATGTATTGAGCTGTCTGATAAAGCTGGAGAAGTTATTGTGCTTGAAGAATCTAGGTAGCAAATCCCTCGCAAATTCAGGTGGATTCCAGACAACAAAGCTTTTATTACTCTGACTCCAGGAGATAACAGAATCCGAGGAATGATCATCAACCATCTCGTATGTCTTCACGAGGAAAGGAGGCAGGACATTCGAACTGCATTGAGTTTTATCCATCATCTGTTCCAAACCACAACCACCCCTTCAAATTCAGAACCCCAAAGCAGATTAGCAGACCAGCGACCACTCTATCCAAATTCATTCACAACGTCTCCAATGTCCAAATAAACTGCTCGCAACTGTCAAATTCTCATAACTACAAATTGAAGGCATCAACACCACTCTATCCAAATTCATTCACAACAACAACTAGGGGTGTGCGCGGTGCGGGTCGGTGCGGTTCAAGAGAAAAATAGAAACCGTATGGCGGGTGGCGGATTGATAAAAGTGTCACTAGAATTTACCATTTTCCTTATAAAAAATCGGCGGTTCGGTTGGCAAATAATGACGGATTTGCCTTGGCGGTTCGGGCAGATTGGCGGTTTATAAAAAATATAATTCAAATTACAAAACTTAAATAAAGAGTAAAAAAAAGATGAGATATACCGTGATGTTAAGCATCTTGCGAAGCTTTCTTCTGATGCAGCAAGTGTAGCAACAACATGATAATATCAACGACTATGCCATCAGTTCATTACAAGCATCTGTGGAAGCTACAATGATCAAATACAATACATAAAATTAATATCATTCAGGGTTTACAATATATTGAAAATGTTTACTGTTGAAAAGTATTTAGATTGAAAAATGAGCTGATATAAGTTTGCAACATGGCCAGAAAATCAACTTTATTTTGGATTACTGACATCTTGATTCCCCTCGAGCAGTAATATAATACTATATTCTAAGGTATAGAACAACAAGCAAACTTAAGTAAAAAAGAATTTTTAGAATCTTATAAAACATGATTTAATAGCGGTGCGGGTCGGTGCGGTTTAGAAGAAAAATAGAAACCGGCGGATTGATAAAATTGTCACTAGAATTTGTCATTTTTCTTACAAAAAACCGGTATTTCGATTGGCCAATAATAACGAATTTGCCTTGGCGGTGCGGCTCGGTGCGGTTTTGGCGGTTTCGGCGGTATTATGCACACCTCTAACAACAACATTACCAACCTCCTTAGACACTGAAATTCAACAAATCAATTCAAAAGACCCATCATTTCCCATCCCAAAATCCCTTCAAATTCAACAAAGCCAAACCCCTTTTTGTCACCCAAAATCACGCTATGTCCAACCGTACAAGAATTGACCCAAAAGAACAAAATTTCCAAATCAAATCCAAAAACCCACAAACAAGAAGCTACCAAACCACCGAAAAAAGAAAAAAAGAAAAAAACCCAACTATATGTCAATTCCATAATAGCCCACACAAAACAATTGGTTTTCTCTCTCTTTCTCTATATATTGCTTGCAAAAAACCCAAACATCAAAAGTCGTTAAAATAGTAATCCTTGTCGGAAACTTAAAGCAAAATCATCAATTTTTTTTCTCTTCAATATTACACATGTACAAATGTCTATATACTATATACACATGTATATAGACATACATAACACATATATATACGAAATCGTAGTTCAGGTGTTCAAGCTTTTACCTGAGAGAGAAAGAGAGAAACCCAAAAAGCCGAAAGTGGAGATAAGGCTTTTACATTTCATCAATTGAGATGAAGAGGGAAGCTGAGAACAAATCACGGTTGTGCAACCAAGAATTTCAACACTAGGCAATTTCCAAACAAAGGCATTCTTCTGAGCCATCTTCCTCAGGAGGACTGGGATCAACTTAACAAATCTGACCAAATTTGTCAAAAGTAATTCATATCACAATGTTAGATTAAAAAAATAAAACTAGAAAAATGCAAAAAGATAAGTGAAATTCATCAACAATACATACTTGAACTCAATAATGACAATAATAATAAATAAATAAATAATGAAAACCAAACTTTGTAGCAGTATTTTCAAATTACAAGTATATAAATCGCACTTGATTCTGGGTTTGAAGGCCAAACTGCGAGAATACTCGCATAAAAACTTCGAATTTCAAACCTGAAAAGAAGAATTGAAGAACATAGAAGGATCGAAAAATAGAGAAGAAGAAGAAAAAATGTCGAAACTAACCTGTTAGGGCTACAAATTGAAGCTATGTTGAAGAAGAAGAAGAAGAAGAAGAAAAAGAAGAAGCTCTGTTAAAAAATAAGAGTCACAACTTTCGTTTACCCTAAACCGATTGATGTTGAACAACTTTAGGGCTATGCGAGAAAAACATAGATAGATATTAGATAGCTTCAAAGATTCGGAAAATAGTTTCAAAGATTCAGAAGAGAGAGAGAGAGAGGGGGGGGAGGAAGAAGAAGCAAACCTAGTAGTCGATTGGTTCAGTAACCCTAGCAACCGAAGAGAAGAGATGAGATGAGATGATCACCCTAGCAATTGATTTCGCCTTCATCATCATCAGATAGAGAGAGAGATTAAAGCCCTTGTGATGTTCCATCAAAATAGTTATTTTGGGGAAAAAATATTGGCACCCAAATTTCATTTTAGCGCTTCTTTATTTATTTATTTATTTATTTTTATCATACAATTCACGACATATATTGTGCGTCGTGAAAAGGCAATATTTTTAACGGCAGGCAATGTGTGCGTCGTAAAAAGTGTAATACTTTTAACGGTGGGCGTGGTTGTGCCGTGAAAAGTATTCACTTTTCACGGCTAGCGTATGTATGTCGTGTATAATTAATGTATTAATGGCACGCCATATGCACGTCGTAAAAAGTTTTATTATTTACGGCGTGCATTGCAAGCCGTAAAAAAAATCATTATTATTACCATTCACGGCCTACGCAATAGACATGCCGTAGTTCAAAAAGTATTTACGACGTGCAAAAAAAGCAAGTCGTAAAAGTGAGAAATTACAGCATGCATTTATTGTATGCCGTTGATGTGGTGCTGTAAAAAGTCAGTTTTGTTGTAGTGCATGAGACTATTTGCTTATGTAATATAACTGTATGAATGTTATTAGATGGAGGTTGTATCGCTTAATTTGGAATGATGTTGATTTTCATATTTGTAAACTCAATTTATTTGGGTTGTACATCTTCAAAACTCTTTAAAAACTACATGAAATCAAGTTGTTCCTAAGTGGGTGACATAGTCTATACTTTTATGCTTCACATAGTATTTTTTTTAAGATTTATTAAGTAATCGGAATATGAACATATAAAGTAAATAAAATTCATATCATGATTTAGTAAAGGCCGATCTTTTGATTACGTGAGCGGAGGTGCTCAATTAATGACTTTCCCCTCTCATACCTAAGGTTCCGAACTGCAACAACTTTGGTTATGATGAACAGTGGCCTTGGCACAAGTCATGGGTTTCCTAATTTTCCAAAATATTATGTGGCGACTCTGAGATCTAATGACGCAGTCCATTTCTGGCAAAATATTTTTTTGCAATAAAATGAATTTTATAAAATTTGCCAAATGTGGACTCTCGTCTATGTTTCATATTGCACTTGTGAGACTAAATCAAAGAGATCTTGGGAGTCTGAACTGTTTAACGCGCGCGGGTTCTCCTCGGGCACCAAAGTGTTTCGCCTCGGGAACTTAGGTACGAGAGGGGAAGGTCATGAATTGAGCACCCCACTCGTCTGATCAAAGATCGGCCTCTACTAATCAAGATGTGATTTGTATTTACATTATATGCTCTTGTTTTGATTATTAGGTTATTTTACTATGTGATGCACACAAATATAGACTAATTTGCAAAAAAATGGAACATTTTGATTTTGTGTTTTGTTTGAAAATTGTTATTTTTTTTTTTGATACTCGTCACTTGAAAATGTGAGTTCGTACATTTACCCGCTTATGATGGTAGCATAGAGCATCATATTTACTTAGCATTCCCATGTTTGCATACACTCATTTCATGTACATTTAGGTTCGACTCATCATGCTAACCAATGTCACATTCAACTCTCTGAAATGAATACGTGATTTATCACATGTCTTGAATGGAATCATATACCATGCTAGTAGTCGAGCCTATTTTCTTGCATGATTGTATGTTTTACATTAGTCATTTGGCATAAGTTAGAAGCATGCATGTTTTCTAATTATTTAAATAAAAGGGAGAAAGAAGTGGGGCTGGAAGAGATACACCATTATTACATATTTACCCTCATGCAAGAGGGTCCCAATAAGTGTCCAAATGTCCGAAGTAAACTAATAATTACAACACCCAACAAACAAATTGAACTGAACTAACTACTTATTACATATTCGAATGAATTCTAAATAAACTATCTATCTAGCTCTAGGTACAACAAAGGTATGATGACGATACTAAGCATAATAACAACACATGAAATTGCAACAATAATAATATTTACCACAACAATAATGAGAGCATTAATTTACAACATTTGATAAAACCAAGAAGCACAAGGATATCATACACGTGACGGTGTTCAGAAGCAACTCTGTCTGCCTTCTTTGGAATTTGCCCTGTTTCACCTTCAGTCACTGCCCTCTGTTTCTGCAAAACACTTTGTTTACTAAACATTGGAGGCCGGCAGGCCCCCAATGAAGCCCAGCCGGGCCCCAATAGGGCCGGTCGTGCCCTAATTTCATGCAAAACTCTATTTTTGTGCTATGAGGTGAAAACAATGCAAACAGAGTTTTTTTGAGCCCTGTTTGTCCCTTCTATCCTTCTTTGTCATGGAAAGCCTCAAGAGAAGGACGAAATCGCTTCCAAAACCATCAATGAGCAAGTTGATTGCTTTATGATTTCGGGTACAAGTTGGACAAAAATCAATGAATGCAATGAACAACACCTACCCCTCCCTCTTATCATGGAGTGAGCTCAGAGAGGGACGTAGAGACGCTTCAAGGGTCGTCAAAACACCATACATTGATGTGTGACGACTCTTGACACAATGGACTTGGCATAACGTCTGGCCAAACCCGAGCAACTCCATTTCTTTCCTTTATGTTGGTTGATCCAATTTTAAGCCAATTTCATTAGTCTTGTCCATTCTTTAATCCATTTGTCCAAAGTGATGATTATGTCCGCTAAATGAGAAGAACGTCAAGTGAGAGGTACTCCTAAATAT